TGAGAGCCTTTTTCATAGCCTGGAGTTTGTTAGCCATGCCTCTCATCCCTCCTGTGGTAGGAAAACCATCCCAAGTATCTTTGACAAAGGTTTGAAATGAGTCATGAAAAGTCCTGCAATCCAGAAACCTAAAAGGTTTAGGTCCAGAGTAATCCTTTTGGATGCATTGAACAAGGAGGGGCTAATGGTCAGAGTTGAACCTGGCAAGGTGTTTAAGAGTGATATCATCAAAATGAGCTATGATTGGGAGGTTGATAAGAGCTCTATCAAGTCTTCTCCATGTTCTGCCTTGGCTCCTGACCCCAGACCAAGTGAAAAGGCCTCCAGTGGGTTCAAGTGAGACAAGTTGGCAATGGGAGATGCAATTACTGAAATCCTCCATGCCTTGGGTGTTGGGGATACATCTTCCTTTGAATTCAGTAAGTGAAGATATAGTGTTGAAGTCCCCCCCTACAATCCATTGATAGTCTGTTGTGCTGGCTTCTTGTAAATTGCTCCAAAGTTCTCTTCTTTCAACAACTGAATGAGCTCCATAAACTGAGGAAATGAGAAGGGGTGTATTGGTGGAAGAAACATGGAAGAGGCAGTGGGTGATCTGGTTGCTATCTTGAGATGAGGTCAGGGAAAGATACGAGTTGTCCCAAAAGATCCATCTTTTGTTGTTGGAGGAGCTAAGTGCATTAGAGAAACCAATTTTAATCCTGAAGAGCTCCAGTTGAGACTTATTGTTTATGGGTTCAATAACACAAAGGAAGTGCAAATTAAATTTCCTCTTGAGGAATATAAGCCTGCTGAGGGAGGAACTAACCCCACAGGCATTCCAGAAGATGAGATTCATTAGGAGAGGTATATCTAACATTTTTACTTTCATCTTAAAAAGAATGAAACCAGCTGTGTTGACTCTTTGGGAAGATTTCACAATGAATCAAGGCCGGGATATAACATCCCTTTTAGAGAGTGGGCGACACCCAATAATTTTGGGTAAAAGGGTGACCGTTACTCACAGGTGTCTACTTCTCAGTCCTACCACATTACAGGTCTGTAACGAATCTAATAATCGCCTATTTGTATTATTTGATGTAATGGCTTTGAAGTAGTTTAAGAAAATACAAGAATATAAGATTTCATACATATGACTCTGAAAGCTGACATCAATACTACAGAGTATTTTTTTTCCTATACTTTACACGGAAATTATAATCTTCTCTATATATGACAGAGATCATCTACTGCTATTTCTTTTTCCAAGTCCACCTGCTCAACAACACAATAGCTTCACATCAATGGTCAAAATGGCAGAGCTTACAGGACATACATATTGAGTTCTTTTTATGGTGCAGATTGAAGTATTTATCTTCTTTAGACCGCATAAGTCATAGAAGTCAAAGAATGGTGTGAGGATAGTGTTTGTCTCATTGGTTGCCTGAATTTGTTCTGATTTTGGGGCTGCCTCAATCCAAGTCTTTTTACTCAACACCCAAATGTAATTATAGTTTGCGGATGGGGGATCACCACTATACTTAGTTAGGCATGGCAGCAACATTCCTAATGTAGTACGTGTTTTTGAGGTCGAGTATCTTATCAATTTGTTCAATGTCACCACTATTTGCGAGAGCAAGAACCTTCGTACCCTGTACGGAAATGGTTGAATGGAACATAATTAATGCAAGTAATATGTACGCTTTAAGATTGATTATTTTATAAGCTTTATAAACTTATCTCCTCATCCTGCAATATAAAAGGTCTGTACTTGTTAGGGCTCGTCCTTGAGTCTTTGACGTTCCGTTTCTCCACAACTCTAACCTTACATGTCCATTCCTTTTTGTTGTCATTTATTCCACTGATCATTCGTGTCTCCATAACTAAAATCATTTATAAAAAAAAGTTTTATAAAATTTGAATAACCTTTTAGATTACTATCATATGATACGATTTCATATTTTTTAAAGGAAAAATCTATAAAATATTCAAAAATATTACTTGAAGAAGAAAAAGGCCCTTACTTGTAAATTGATTTTACACTTACAAATAGGTTCCGAAAAATGTTAAAAATAAGACATAATTGAATAACATGTTACAACGTACCATTGAATACGGACACTGGCAGTGGTAGGTAGTGGGTTGGGTTTAGATTTTTTTTGTTTGGGACTGGTGTTTGGGGTTGGTTTTAGGATAGACTCTAGGTTGGGTTTTGATTTTTTGGGTTTACAGTTTAGGCATGTTTTTGGGTCAGGGTTTTGTGTTTGGGTTTTGTGTGTGGTGATTGGAACACTTTACCTTTGTGTTTTGATTTTGGCTTTTGTGATTAGGACTGGTTTTTAGGGTTTGGTTTTGGGGCTGGTTTTTGGGTTGTGTTTTGACTTTAGGATTAAGAGTTGGGGTCTATCTTTGGGATGGGTTTTTGTATCTGGGTTGTCGGGTCACTAAAATTAATAATTCTGTTTTGGCTTTGGCTTTTGCATTTAGGGCTGGGTTTTGGTGCTGGTTTTCGGGGCTCGTTTGTTGGGTTTTAACTTTTGGGTTTAGACTTTGGGTTTGTTTTCGTGTTGGGTCACTAAAACTAAAACTAAAAGATCATTGAAGGAAGACACATATTGTGAACCTAGGTATTACACCACAACCTAATATGATAAAATAAATTGGAAATTGAGAAAGTTAAACATAGTTTAGAACAAAAAATGATTTATGATTTTAAATTTTTAACCCATAAATGGAGTTCAAAGACTGTGTGTCATACCCTTATGTAGAATCTGGGATAGGTTTTGGCGTTTGTGTTTGGGACTGGTTTTTGGGCCTGGGTTTTGGGTAGACTCTAGGTTGGGTTATAGAGTTTGGGAATGTTTTTGAGTCTGGGACTTTGGGTTTACTATCCGGGTTTTGGGTCTGGTGCTTTGGGCTGGTTTTTGGAAGAATGATGTTCCAAGTTCTTGCAGATTTAGGCGTATCTGTAATTAAAAAATGTTTTTTCTTTACTTCTACTAATTGGGACAAACAACACACCTATAAACAAACCAAATAACTAATATCATTCAACCTGGGAGGATGCCTGCTATTACACCTAAATTAATATCTGGGTTGATGGGTCAATGAAATTAATAAAAGATTGTTGAAGGGAGACACATATTGGCTGAGAGGATATTGATAGATAATGAAACTCATGGGTCGGAACAGTAGCCTTTAAATTATGCCAGTTATTTCTTTGAGATGTGGTACCTTTGAATGGTTACTATTTAGTTTCATACATTTGGAAGTGTCAGTTATTATCATACTGTCCTAAGCTTAAAGACATTTTGATTTAATTTATAGACGAATAACAAAATTCACCACACATACTTTGGGGTTGTTTTAGATTTTTATGAAATTACTGAATTTCAAGCACTTTAAAAAGAGCACATAAATAAAAAGCACTTCCAGATTATCTGACACATAAATGGATTTTCAAACACTTTCAAACAACACCAAGATTTCAACCATTTGCATAATGGATTTCAAGCACTATCAAAGACGCCCTTATTATGAGGCGATGATTTAACATAGAAATGGAGTGCAAAGACTTCAGAAACAACACATAATAAACATCTGAAAACTAAGCTGCAGAATAGTAAGCAAAAAAACATCATACCTAAACCTCTATGGTTTCAATGAATGGATTGAATTAAAATTACCTCAAGAATGATGTTCCGAGGTCTTGGAGGTTGACGCGTACCTATATATATAAAATGATCGTTTAGTTGCAATAACAGAAAAAAAGAACAAAGACAAGAACAAGGCAAACAACTCATATAATTAAACCTAGGAGGAAACCTGGAGATGGTGCCTCATCCCATATCCCAAAAATTGAAAAAACAAATAGTGTTGGTTAGAGGTTTACTCTTTGGTATGCTTTTACTTCTAGTTTACAGGTTTTAAGTCTTGAGTCTCGGTTTGGTTACTCGGGGTTAGGTTCTAGGTTTGGGTCAGAGTTTTTCTTTTCTTGGGAGTGAGTTTTGGGTTTAGATCTGCATTTTAGGCTTTGGTAGATCAGAGCTGGGCTTGGATCATGATTTTACATTCTCCATTAGTTAAAGTAGGTTGCTGGCTAGGAGGATATTGAGTGACAGTGCATGCGACTGAGTTTAATGGAAACATGGTTGGGAGGGGTGGAAGTACGGGGCTGGATAAGGGGCATGGACTTGCCATCTTCCCTGGTCTTGGCAGCAAAGACAAATGCTTTCAAGCATCCAGCATTCCAGATCCCGTCCAGAGAAACCAGCAGATTCTTTTGCAGCAACCATTACCACCCCGTGTTGCACCCAATAGTCTACTGGTATTGTTGTACCTTTCAACTGTTATATTTCAGATTATTATGGTGTTTCTCTTTTGTTTATTACTACCACCCTTCTTTAAAAATGTGGATTAAACTTAAGGATGTCTTGGTTTGTTTCTTTGTTTGTAGCCCGGACACACATGCATCATTCGTTTGAACCAGCACCAAGCTGCTCCTCTGCCTGGTGGGGGTGCTGCAATGTCCACTGCAGCCATTGCCCGGCCGCATGTGCCTTCAAGTGCAACTAATTCTGCTGTGGGTGGTAATGGATCTGCCACGGCAGCGGGTGGGAATCATATACACCAAAAGAAATAAAAATTGATTTTGGGGAGTGGGTTTTGGGTTTAGATCTGCATTTTAGGCTTTGGTACATCAGAGCTGGGTTTGGATCATGATTTTACTTTCTCCATTAGTAAAAGTAGGTTGCTGGCTAGGAGGATATTGGGTGACAGTGAAAGACGTGGATTGGAACAATTTACCTTTCTGTTTTGGCTTTGGCTTCTGCATTTAGGACTGGTTTTTGGTGCTGGTTCTTCGGACTCGTTTTAAGGTTGGGTTTTGACTTTTCGGTTTAGAGTTTGGATCTGTTTTTGGGTTGGGGTTTTGTGGTTTTCTATCTGGGCTGTCGGGTCACTAAAATTAATATTAATAGATCGTTCAAGGAAGACACAAATTGTGAACCAGGGTATTACACCACAACCTAATATGAAGAAATAAATTGAAAATTAAGACAGTTAAACATAGTCCAGAACAGAATATGATTTAGGATTTTAGATTTTGTAGCCGATAAATGGAGTTCAAACACTGCGTGTTTGTAATGGAACAAACACACCCTTATGGGTCTGGTTATTTAAGCTTAAGTTCTAGGTTTGGGTTAGAGTTTCGGTTTCTGCGTTAGGGTTTGGGTTTGGATTATGTTTCTTGGTTTCGATTTCAGGCCTTATTTTGGGCAGTTTAAGGTTGAACTTTACACCAACTACAGGGACTGAGCAAACCATTATGGATGTTTGTGCAAAGTTTTTGTAGCCCAAGGAAGAATTCTGGCCAGATTTTGAGTCTAAAAATCTGTAGCACATCAGATTTTTAAGTTATGCAATGAGCACATTGGAGGGACGTACCCCCTGAATGTGAAGATGAATTGAAGCCTAAAGTTGGCATGTTTTTATTGGTCTGAATATGGATGAGACTTTTATAAAAGGTATGCACACTCTGTCAGTTTTTGTATTAGCAATTTAATAAAAAACTAATGCTAAAACAATGAGTCCCTGGTGATACATTCACTGCGAAATCTGGGAAAAGAATTGTGTACACCCAACCATTGTAACCCATTTGCATAATGGTTTTCAAGAGTCCATCACTCACTACTTAATTTATAGCCTTGAAATTTAAAAAATCAAATGGCACAGCTCTCATATTTGAATAAACCAGATTGTCCTATTCTTTAGATGCTTTAGAGTTTAAAATTTACAACTTGGAATTTTATACATTCTAAAGAGCAGTTTGAAATTGTTACTCTGTATTTTTTTATTTCACATCCCTAAACATGCTGGTTGAATATTTTTAAATGTGATATAGTCATTATATCCAAGTCTAACGAACAAAACAATTCAAATCCATAAGAAACATAGAATACTTTAAATCTCCCAACTTTGAAAAATTGATGTTAAATTGTAAGTTATCTTCTTTTAGGTTCAGGAAATGTGGGAAAAGAATTGTGTATACCCAACCATTCTAACATCAATTTTTTGTGTATATACAGAATCTAAGACTTACGATATACAAAGATTGGTGAATCTAAGACTTACGATATACAAAGAAATGTGGCACCATATAACAACATGCATTTAAAAGCATGCAAATCATAAATCTAAAATTAGCAACTCATAATCGCAAATATCCATGCTCAATATAATGTAATAAATATATTTATACAATACATGAATATGCTTAGTATATAAATATGATGAATTTATGTTTTACAATATAATGGAAAAAATACTGACCTCTTACATAATCCAACATAGAACATGGCAGAGAGATAACACGAGTCTATAGATAGAAAAAATCAATAAGTGAACTAAATACTAAAATTAGAATATGGAGTTATGGTAAACTAAATACTAAAATCATCATTACTTGTTAATCTGTAAGCCAAGTTGTTCTAATATGAAAAAATGAATTCTAACTTTGTGGACTACATTGTCAAGTTCAGACCTTAATAAAAATCAACTAAACATTCTTCAGAAAATCATGATATCCATGAGAGAATTAAAAAAGTATCAGAATCTGGACGTTATATTTAACTAAATAATAAAATCATCATTACTCAGTATAACTTTGTTTCATTCTTTGAAATTCTGTATTTCTTTTTTAATTGTCATTTACTCAGTATAACAGCTAAGTCAAATCCTACCACAACAGGGTGTGGTTGTCATATACTCTGCACTAAAACTTGATGTTAGCTAGAATGATTTAGTGATGCATGGAATAAGTGAAGTAACACAACAATTTTTCTGGATAGAATGAAATATTTCAACCAATAATTTAACTTTGATCTACTAATCTAAAACATCTCAACATGAAGGGAACAACGGACCTAAGAAAGAGAGGCTTGAAGACGGAAGAAGAAATGGAGAATAGCGATTGCTCCGTTTGGATTGCAGCAGTTACGTGATACAGGTGTTGCCTTGCCACGTGTGTGTGGTGGTTAGATACGGTTAGATGGTAGTTGAGTTTGTTAGACGGTTATATACTTGTATTCAAGCTGTGGTTGGAATAAGAAGACATTTAATCTCATTTCACATAACTTCTCTCTCTCTCTTCTCTCACATTTTGATCGGGACTTCAATCCCTGGTCTTTCTCGTTCATCCTCGAGGATTCTTCTCCATCTCTGAATCCTCCTGCATTGGACTTTACCAGTGGTATCAAAGCAAGTTCTCATCCTGGCAAGAACGAGAAAACAATCCAGATCTGAGCAAGAGTCGAACATGGAGATAAACCAGAACAATCAGCTGAAGATGATACTCGAACAACAATTTGCGTCTCAAAATCAGAAGATCGAAGAAATTAGAGCAGAACAACAGAATATGTTTGAGAAAATGATGGAGTTGCTTGAAAAATCAAGCAATAATGAGAATAGATCGTCATCAGAGATCATCAGCAATGAAGGAGGTGACAGAACTGCTTTGAAATTTTTGCCTAAACTTGAATTTCCTTCGTTCAATGGCTCTAACCCTAGGAATTGGGTGAAGAAATGCACACGCTATTTCAGTCTCTGTAAAATCCCTGAAATTCAGAAAATGGATGTAGCCTCAATCCATTTGACAGGGAAGGCTGAGGTATGGTTTGCTAGTTACATTGCTGTCAAAAAGAGAGTAGAATGGGATGAATTCATCATTGATGTGTATGGTAGGTTCAAAGAAGAACTTGACAGTAAACTAGTGGAGGAATTCAATAAATTGAATCAAACTGGGACAATTGAGGAATATTTGGAGAGATTTGAAGAGCTAAAGTCATTAATGTTGCAGAAAACTCCAGTTTTACCTGATGATTATTTTGTGGATAGTTTTGTGGGAGGTCTGAAGCCACACCTGAAGGCATTTGTGAAGGCACTAAAACCTCTAACCATTGATGATGTTGTACAATTTGCTAGATTACAGGAAGAATCTGTGCAAGCGGTTAGAGACACTCCTAAGGCGCAAGTAACACGAAACACAATTGGTCTTCTACCCACACCAAGGGGAAATACTAGTTTCAAAGGTGGTAGTGCATTCTCAGACTATAGGAGTCATAGCAATCCTCAAAACTCCACAACTGATAGTACTAGTTCATCAAGTAGTACAACAAGGAGTTTTAGACCTACTAAGGTTTTGACAGCAGCTGAAAGGGCAGAAAAAAGCGCAAAGGGGTTGTGTTACTTTTGTGATCAACCTTATGAGAAAGGTCACAGATGCCAAAGCAAGAAAAGTCAACTGTTTTTGGTAGAAATCCCTGGGGATGAGTTGGACGTTGACACAGAAGATAAGGATATTTCCAAAGAGGACAGGGACTTTGAGTTGCTGGAGATAGAACCATGTATTTCATTTCACGCAGTCAATGGAATCACAGGTTACCAAACTATGAGAGTTACTGGACATTTTGGTAAGAAGGCCATTCAGATTCTGGTGGATTCTGGCAGTACTCACAATTTCCTGGATGTTGGTTTGGCTAAAAGGTTGGGGTGCAAGTTGGAACCCATATCACTGCAACCAGTCACTGTGGCTGATGGAAGTACACTAAAGTGTCAATATAAGTGCAGAAATTTCAAATGGAAGCTACAAGGCACTGAATTTTGTGCAGATGTGTTTCTCATTCCTTTAGGAAGTTGTGACATGGTGTTGGGAATCCAGTGGTTGAGTACTTTGGGCACCATTAAGTGGAACTTCAAGAATCTACACATGCAGTTCGAATTCCAGGGAAAGGGGCATGTACTGAGAGGGTTACAAGGTCCCAAGGTAAAAATATTAGAAGAATCACAACTGTCTAAGGAAATGGAAGAGGCTTGCCACTTATGTATGTTACAAGTAAGATGTGCCGAGGAACTGAAGAACCAATCTGGACAAGGAGGAGAATGGAACTGTCCGAGCTCCAGCACAAGGACCATACCTCCATTAATTTCTGAATTATTGTTGCAATATGAGGATTTATTTGAAGAATCTACTGGTCTGCCACCAAACAGGGGGTTATATGATCACAGGATACCCTTAAAAGAAGGAGCCACCCCAATAAGCATCAGACCTTATAGGTATGCACTCAGACAAAAGGACATCATTGAAAAGTTGATTGATGAAATGCTGGAAAAAGGGATAATTCAGCCTAGCTGTAGTCCTTTTGCCTTTCCAGTAGTCTTAGTGGGAAAGAAGGATGGAACTTGGAGACTATGTGTGGATTATAGGGAACTAAACAAGCAGACTATTAAAGACAAGTTCCCTATCCCTTTAGTAGAGAAGCTCATGGATGAACTAGCTGGTGCTACGGTGTTCAGTAAAATTGATCTAAGGTCAGGGTATCACCAAATCAGAATGGAAAGTGAGGATGTTTTTAAAACTGCATTCAAAACACACGCTGGACACTATGAATTCTTGGTAATGCCATTTGGCCTTACCAATGCCCCAGCTACATTCCAAAGTCTCATGAATCAGGTGTTCAGACCACTATTGAGGAAGTTTGTATTGGTTTTCTTTGATGATATATTGGTATACAGCAATTCAATGGAAACACATGTTGAACACCTGAAACAAGTGATGGAGATCATGAGGAACAATACACTGGTAGCCAAAAGATCCAAATGTGAGTTTGGAACTGACAAGGTGGAATACTTGGGTCACTTCATTTCAAGAGAAGGGGTGGCCACTGACCCAAGAAAAGTTAAGGCAATAAGAGAATGGCCTAGGCCTACTAACATCAAGGAATTGAGAGGCTTCCTTGGGTTGGCAGGTTACTATAGGAAGTTTGTGCGGAATTATACGCCTATATCAAAACCTTTAACACAACTCCTAAAGAAGGGGGACTTCCGGTGGAATGAGGAAGCCTCTGAGGCTTTGGAACAATTGAAGTCAGCCCTGTCTACAGCCCTAGTTTTGGCTCTTCCTGATTTTTCTAAGACTTTTGTGGTAGAAACAGATGCATCTGCATATGCTATTGGGGTTGTACTTATGCAAGATAAGCATCCTCTGGCTTTTCTAAGCAAGACATTGGGACCTAAGTGGCAGCAACTATCAGTATACGAGAAGGAGCTCTTAGCTGTGGTCCATGCTGTGCAAAAATGGGAACAATACCTGCGTGGCAATTCCTTTGTGATCCTTACAGATCAAAAGAGTTTGAAGTGGCTTTTGGAGCAAAAGATTTCAACCCCTTTCCAACAATCCTGGTTATCCAAACTTATGGGATTCCAATATGAAATACATTATAGGAAGGGAACTGAAAATGTGGTTGCAGACGCTTTATCAAGAATCAAGGGGTCGGAACTGTTAGCCTTAGCTATATCTGGGGTGCATTTTGATGTATTAACAACCATTAAAGAGAGCTATCACTTGGATAGTAACTTGAGTGGGGTTGTACGCAAACTACAAGGAGGAGAGACAGTGAATAAATACAGTTTCCAAGACGAGTTGCTACGGAGGAAAGGGAAACTGGTCATAGGACCAAATTCCAATCTAAAAACCCAAATTCTGAATTGGGTGCACAACTCAGCCACTAGAGGACACTCAGGTAGGGATGCTACATTGAAGAAAGTTAAGGGGTTGTTTTGGTGGAAGGGTTTGAATAGAGATGTACAGCATCACATCAGACAATGTGTGGTTTGTCAAAGTTGCAAGTATGATAATAGTTCATATCCTGGATTAATGCAACCTCTACCAGTACCCAATGAAGTTTGGAAGGATATCTCTATGGACTTCATAGAAGGTCTTCCAAAATCTGGAAATAAAGAAGTCATTTTTGTTGTTGTTGACAGATTGAGTAAGTATGCACACTTCATGGCACTCAATCACCCATTTTCAGCAGCAGAAGTAGCTCAAGTCTATTTGGATCATGTATTCAAGCTACATGGGTGGCCTCAAACTATTGTGAGTGATAGAGACAAGATATTTCTAAGTGATTTCTGGAAGGCTTTGATGACAGTCCAAGGTACCGAGTTGCTGCTGTCCACTTCCTACCATCCTCAAACTGATGGACAAACAGAGGTGGTTAATAGGTGTTTGGAGGCCTACTTAAGGTGTATGTGCAGTGAACACCCAAAGGAGTGGAGTAGCTGGCTACCTTTGGCTGAACGGTGGTACAATACCTCCTTTCACTCATCCATTCAGATGACACCCTATGAAGTGGTATATAGTCAACCGCCCCCCATCCATCTTCCATATCTTCCCGATGAAACAAAAGTGGAGGCCGTGGATAGATCCTTACAAAGAAGGGAGTCCATGATACAGATGCTGAAATTTCAACTGTTAAGAGCTCAAAATAGGATGAAGGTGCAGGCTGACAAGCACAGATCTGAGAGGCACTTTGAAGTGGGGGATTGGGTATGGCTTAAGCTACAACCATATAGACAACAGACAGTGCAAGCAAGGTCTAATAAAGCATAATCAACAGATTAAAGAGACAGCCACGCCATCGTACATCTCCACCTCAATCCCCTCTGGGATCGGCTCTAGGTTCATCTGTCTGATCACCTACGGACAGCAAAAAGGAAAACAACGCTATCCGCTCAGCAATGACGCTGAGTGGCACTCCATTGTAGCACAAGAATAAAAATAATACTTCAACAATTGAGATCGTGCATATGTTTATCCTTTTGATAAAANACGGTTGACCAACAGTCAACTTATTTTCTTTCTTTTCAAAACGATTTAGGTGTTACGGGTTTCTCATTAACTCTTTGACCACCGGTCAAACCAATTTAGACTTTCACCAAAGTCAAACCACTTAACATTTAATGCCTATGACGGAGATAGCCTCAATCCGTAATACCGAAGATAGCCTCAATTCGGTGGAGGTAGGATCCCTCGGGCGATAGCCTCAAACCCAAGATCACTGACCCTTGTGCGCACGTCTTAACCTCACTGACCAGGCCCTGCAGTCGCCCGAGCAATGGCCAATTTCTATGATCGACACAATAAACCAATTGACCTTAATCACCGATTAGAATTAATTAATTAACTTAACTAATTCATTAAAGTCTTGGATTTAACCATTCGGTCAAACCTACGTCGACAGAATATCCAGTCAAAGTCCAAGTCAAACAGGACCTAACCCAAGTCAAAGTCAAACCTGTTCAGTCAATTCACAATCCTCAACAATTCAATTCAAATAATCAATTTAATTCAATTAACCAATTTAGCCAAATGATAGCATAAACACATATAACGATCCAAACCATTAAATCTATTCTAAATGCTATTAACTTCATAGTACGGACCTGGATTTCGCCGAAATCGAATCGATAGCTTGAACGGAAGACAAATCGACGAAATCAAACAAACGGGTCAAATTGAGTCAAAATGCGAAATCGACCAATCAACCCGGCGTGGAGGTTAATCTGCCGGCGATATCAACTCGGGGCAGCGGCTAGATGCGGCGACAGTGACGGACGCCGGCGACAGTGGCGGAGCGGCAGCTCGACGGCGATGAGCAGCGACTGGCAGCGCTGCAATCGATGGCGGCGGACGACTGACGAAGGCGAAACAGCAGCGTTGCACCTGACGGCGAGGATGGCCGCTGTGCTAAGGGCGACAGCGGCGCTCGATTCCGGCGAAGGCGAAACAGCGGCGTTTGGCAACGTCCGACATTTGGCGTGGCGGTGCTGCAATCGACGGCGAGAACGACGCCGGTAATGGAGGCGATGACCGCGGCTCGAAGATTGGGAACCGTGGTCGGCGGCGCTGGATCTGGCGGTGAGCGACGGGGCAGCGGCGAGGAGCGACCGGCGCTGGCAGTGGAGGCGACGGACTTCCGGCGAAGGATGGGCAGCGACTGGCGGCGATGATGGCGGCGGACTTCCGGCTGTTGAAGACGAAGAAGAAAGAAGAAGAAGAAGAAGAAGAAGAAGAAGAAGAAGAAGAAGAAGAAGAAGAAGAAGAAGAATGACGGAAGAAGGACGGAAGAAGAAGATAAGGATCGAGTGGTTTAAATTAGTTTAGGTTTATTTAATGGTCCCATTCCTAAAAGGATTGGGCTTCGGACCCAAAATACCTGATTAAATAGTCATAACATGAGCTTCATAACTCCGATTCGCGAGTCGTCTGAACCGACGCGATCACAAAAATATTTCCTACGGGATGACATAAAAGTTGGGCTTAGAATCCAATTTATAATTTTAACCCCTTTTTAGGCCCAATTCGTAATCAATTGCTCTAACAGTTTAATTAATTCTTTTGGGCCAGATTTCGGGACGTTACAATCCACCAACCTTTGCAAGGACGACAGGATCTCGTCCTCGTCTTTCAGCGCCGCGGACAAAGATGCGATCTCGGCCTCGGTTTGTACATTCCCGTCAGATATGTCAAGGGAGGCAGGGCACTTCCCGTCCTGAGGAACGGCCAGACGTTTGGCCAACGGACTCTGGGTCAAAATCACGTCCTGATCGGACGCAGTCTCCTCTTCCTCGGCTTGGAGAAGTTTTCTCTTCCTTTGGTTCCGGGTCTGAACCACTTCCTGGTCGGGATGGTCGCGGCAAACCCGGATGTGTTCCCCGAGGGCGGCTCACGGTGAACCTCCTCTTCTCGGCCCTGGCTTTGGGCTAACAGTTTGGCCCTTCGGACAACCTCCAATGGATGCATGTCTCCTGGTAGGACAAAGCAAAGGTTAGAAAACCTGTCATCAAAAAGGGGAAAAGTCCTAAAGTGAAGGACAGACCTCCGAAAGGCTCCACATCAACGACGTCCTCAGAGCAGGACGACTGTCCTGACTCTTCATCGGTCTTAACCTCCCCGTCCTCTTCCTCTTCTCTTTCCTCCGACTCCGGATCTACCGGCCTCGAGGTGCTCTCTTCGAGTCTGTGCTTGGGACGGCTCCCCAGGCTGGCCTCGGCCAACTCAAATTGACGCTCGAGGGAAATGAGGATTCCCACCTTCGCGAGGTTCTGCTCCGTGCACACCGTATATACGTGAGGCGGGTTGGGCCGGCAGCCTTCCAAGAGTTTCGGTGCATGCGCGAGAAGCTCCGGAGTGGGGTTAGGACGAGGATGGCGGATAAAAGTGTGATAATCAGGAAACCTAGCTTGGAAGGGATGCCGGTCCCCGGGAAAGCCAGAGAGGAAAACAAACTTAGCCTTCCAAAGTTTCAGGGACGTGGGGATAACAGCCATGCCACACTCGGCCTGAGAAGAGACAACAGCGTACGAATTTCCCTCACGCGCCCCGACTTTAGAAACCTTGAACATATAGCGGAACAAGTCCAAGGACCAGGGGACTCCCTTCAGGTGACACTTGATCAGGAAAATTAAGAAGCAATAATAAGAGTGGGGACTGAGCTGGCCGGCCAGAAGACGATAGAAGTTCAGAAATTGGACTATCAGGTCGTGAGGAGGAAATCGGAGACCATAGCGCATCGATGCCACATGCACCCCGACCTCGGCATCACGGCTAGTCACGGAGAGAACGTGATTTGTCGCATGCGGTCGGCGCACGGAGTAGCCCTCCCCCACGAAGCGAAGGGCCTCGTCAAAGTCGACGTCCAACAGAAGACAACCCGTACTCGTGATTGGACCCGTTTCGAACACGGTAACGGGTGAGGATTTTTGGATCTGACCTTTGACGGCTTTCTGATTTTTGACGGTCTTCAATTTTTTCCCTTTTGGGCGCGGCACCCGGGACGACGACACCACAGTAATCAGCGTACGGAGAGGCACCGCACTCAGAACCCTAGAATGATCGATTCCTCCCATCAGACCGTCAGGGTGGAGGGAGGGATCTTGTCGGTACATTTCCTCAAAACAAGTCGCCGCTAGGTCAACAACGGGGATGGAAGGAGTAGAATCGGAAGACGCCATGAGAACGGAGAGGGATTAACTAACCTTCAAGGGGGACTGCGACGACGACGGCGAATGGGCAGAGACGATGAATGAAATCGACAACAAAAGTGCGGCGCAGAAATGACAAATGTGGAGAGGATTGGATAATTCCCGTTTTTATATAACTAAGGGATCCGACCCGACTTATCGAAGGGTCACAATTACGGAGAGACGTGGCATTCCCTCACGCGTGCAATCGCAAATCATCACGAACGGCTGACAAAGGAACAGTACAGAGACGTTACGTCTCCCAAACAGCGCAATCATGCCTTTTCAAAATCGAAGTGACACGTGTAAACCCTGTCAGTTGGAACACTCCCCAACTCTCATCAACACTCGAGTCGGGCAGTGGGGGACTCCTATACACGGCCAAGATTTTCAAGATTCAAAATTCAAATTCCCAATTTTAAAGATTACTTCCCTCGGCTTCGCTACGCTCGGCCAAGGAAGTAGGGGACTCATGATGGATACCCGGGAATGGGGGTATCCATCCCAACAGGAAGACGGCCCAGCCCAACTTCGCCAAGGCCCAGTTGGCGGGACCAAAGCAAGAATGAACAAAGGACAATGGAAGACCACCCCGGCAGCGGTACGCGTTCGACCCCGGTAGGGTCGGTCATCCTCGGACCACCCCTGGCCGGCCTTCCGCCAAGAGACTTCCGAAGACAGGTCCTACGCTCGGCCTTGGCCCTGGGCAACGGCAGGCCAGACCTGGACAAGGAAGCTGACTGAAGTCAAGATCAAGGGGCCCACGATTAGACCCCCGCCATGCCTCTGGCAGAGTTGCTATAGCCACCCTATTTGTAACCTATTTTGTATAGCAATCCTAGGGTTAATGATGCGGTTGGATGCCGCCAGTGAACAACCCAATCTTAGTGGGCCCAGACCGTTGGACTATGGACCAACGGTCGGAACCCTAGTTGTAATCTGCATATAAATCCCTTCCCTTCTAAAGGAAGGGGGGGCATGTTTTTACTTACGTTCTAACTAGCGCAATATTACTCTCAGTTCACTTGACCCCAGATTTTGTGCACTCTCGACTTAGTTCGATACCCTTCCGCCTAGTTTCCTAGGCCCCCGAATTCCTTAACCCAACAATGACGTTAAATGTGATGAGAGAACTTAATAATGTATTGTATTTATAACAGTTATAATACAAATTCGAGAAATAGTTTGCCTATGCGGGATTCGAACCCACATCCGTATTATATATCGCTCTACCATTTGAGCTAACAAGTAATATTTTTGTTTAAACAGACACTCATCTTACACTTGGACACATTGAATACACATTTTAACCCTTTAAAATTTGCATTTTTCAATATTTTTATAACCCATATAAATATATAACACAACATTTTAAATGCATCATCAATTGCAAAAAGTTTCACCTTGATTTTGAGAATGCAGAGTACCAAATGTTTTTTTATCCTTTAACATTTTTACAATGCATTGTCTTCTCATGTAAATGCATCATGTTGACTTTAATAATGCACAATAACATAACCTATGTATACTTTGTTCATTGAACTTTAACAAATTTTAACTGGAATTAAAAGTCATGCAATTTCTTTTTAGCAAATGAAATTTGCAATTAAATCAAGCTTCAGTTGAAAGTTTATCTCACACTTATGCACATGCATAAAATTCACTTATTCAGTGTACTCATTACTGGCTATAACCAATAGCACACTCAATAAATAACATTATGTAATTACAATGTCTTGAAATTAGCTTAAAGATCTTAATTTTTACTCTGTATACCTTAGTCAAAATGCACCAGATAAAGTCATGGATGCATAACTACTGTGTTTAAGATCACCATCACTATCCATCATTTGTTTCAATAGAATTCTCTTACAATGCATCATAAAGATTAATAAAATTTGAAGTTCCACGGCACTAGCTAAATGGAGTTGTTGCACATAAATTAATAATGCATCGTCTTCTTGTTTGTAAGCATCCTCATCTTATACAATAGCAACATCTTTTTATTTACTCGCACCAGCATGTTGTTAAATTTTTTCCTCATGTAACAATACTGCATCCTGGACCGTCACATTAAAGGAACTCATATTGCATTTCAAAAGAACCACTTCAAACTTGAAATCTGTCATGTTGCATATCAATAAACATATATAAGCAAAATCATGGGAAAATAAAACATAGCATCATGGCAAAATCAAGCATAAGCAGAATCAGTGCAAAATCCATGATAGAATAATGAAAAAAGCAAAATAAGCAAGATTAAACATAAGCAAAATCATAGGAGAATCTTCTCTCGTTTTAATGGATAGTTTTTCTATATGCAATTGTTTGGGCCATTGTCTTCCAGCAAGGCAAGTCTGCCAATAGCAGTTTGAGCTAAAAGAAAATTTTTTGTGCAGAAAAAATATATTTGAAAAGAAAAGAGAGTTATAGATTACAACTCTAAATTAGGGAGTACAATTATATTTCAAAAGAATAAGAAAAATGAAATATCACATGCACCACAAAATTATACCCAAGTAACTAACAATATGTATCTAAAGTGTGTTGTTCTAATTAATTTTAAAATAGTTCTAACATTATAGATAATGCACTCCAAACTGAACTGCATGTACTATTACGACCACACGATGCACAAACACTATATTTGAAAAGAACCACAAATTCTTGAAATTATGCACGATTGAACCAAATCAAACAAGAAACATGTTTACATACATATGTAATTTGTTGGTCTGCTCATGCTTTCTGATTTATTAGTCTTCTTCTCTAGATTTAGACAGCGTTGTTTACTTTTTCCTTGCACAGAACAACAAAGTTAAGGAAAGGCAAAATAAATAATAATCAAGCAACAAAGATTGAAAATACTAGACTAAATTGAAGGGATGAACAAATGAATATGGAAATCAACCCAATCTATGTCGAAACAAATAAGTGAATATCAAAGATTGAACATACAAGATTAAATTGAACAGAAAAAGAAATGAATTGAAAAATCAAACACGTCTAACTTCAATCAGATATTGTTTCTCACAAAAAATAGAGAAAGATTTCTTGTACAGAGAAGAACACTCACACTCTATTTTTATAGATTAGAAGCCGATTTTGACTGAACAAGTTATTGAAGGAAAAGGGCAAGCCAGGAGAAAGGCCATCTTGTACGTGCAGGTTTATCGGATCGGTGATCTTGAAACAATGGATTGAGATTGCGAGATCTAGGCTTTAATACTGAATTTACTGATGTGCCCATCTCACGTCATGGAAGGCATAGAAATAGAGTAATAGATCCAACGGTTGAGACAAATTCTTATTTCTTTATATATATATATATATATATATATATATATATATATATATAGACACACACACACATACGTAATATATATATATATATATATATATATATATATATATAGACACACACACACATACGTAAACTTTGAAAATGGCGAGCCTCAGAGTTCCAGCTTCTGTTCCTTCTCCCGGCGATGATTCCGAGCAACTCCAAAAGGCTTTCGCAGGATGGGGAAAGAACGAGGCACTCATAATTCAGATATTGGCTCACGGGAATGCTGAACAGCGCAAGTCAATCCGCTACATCTATGCCTCAACTTATAATGAGGATTTCTCAAGGATCATTCTTACAGGAACCAACCCCTATATTTTTTTTTCGCACAATCACTTTTTTTTAAAGGATTTTTATTAATCAAGAAGAGAGGTACAAATCATACAAGGAGCCAAAGCGGCAACAGGAGAATCATACAAACGAGAGAAAAGGAAACTAAAAGGGAGGTTTCTGAAGAATCTTTCGGTCATTTCTCCAAAAGGACTCTAGGCCCAACCCCTTGAAGTCTTCATCATGTGCCATCCATTTCTTGTTTCTGTTCACCCAGCACCATGCTTGGAGGGTCTTGAGGCACACTTGAGTAATTCCTTCTGCCGTAGGATTGATCCCGTTATGGAGATGGGAGTTGCGAGCTTTCCACAAAGACCAGTTGCATATGCCTGGTAGAATGAGACGAAGATAGCCTTTAAAGTGTTTGGTATTGCTGCCAAACCACCATGCTAGGACATGTTGACGTAAAGAGGTATGTTCCTTGACGTGAGGGCCATTAGTGAGTGAGGCTAGGAGGTTCCATACTTTGGTGGCTGTGGGGCAGTGGGGAAGGGAGTGGTCCAAGGAATCAGTATTATGGAGGCAAAGGGAGCAAATGCTAGGTGAGGTGATGGAAAATCTGTTGAGGTTGGTTGCAAAAGGTAGGATGTTGTTGAAAACTTTCCACATGAAGATTCTAATCTTGGGAATATTGGATTTATGCCAGATGTACTTGCTGGAAAACATACTAGGCCCATCGTCTCTAACCGTCATGAATTCCCTTTTGAGGCTAAAATCTTTTCCATCCCAAAGCATACTCCCACAGGAATATGAAGTGTGTTGAAGAGCTAAATCATTCGACCTGCAGATTCTTTTCCAGGTTGGTGAGTCAGTAATCTTCTCTTTCATGATCCCTTGCTTCATGTATTTTGCTCTAGCAAATGTTCCCCATATACCTGTGTCATGATTTGCTTTCCACCATAATTTGAATGTGTATGCTTGTTGTAGATCCTCAATATTCTTCAATCCTAAGCCTCCTGCAGCTTCTGGTTTTGTGATATATTCCCATCTCTTCCAATGGTATTTTGGTTTTCCTTTCCTTTGTCCCCATAGGAAGTTGGCCATATAAGTGTTGAGGACCTGTATGATGGATTTAGGGAGGGAATGTACTGCAATGATGTGTAATGGTATGGAGGAGAGGACATGTTTAATTAGGATAAGCCTCCCCATTTGATTCAAGGTTTTGCTGTACCAAGA